ACTACTACTACTACTACTACTACTGTTGGAAAAGCTTCTGCTGGTTATTATGCTACCATTGCGTAATGAATCATTATTTGCATGTCCGTTACTATAACGTTGTACGTTGTGTGTTTGTGTGGTTGTTTTGTGTTTATTTTTTGTATATGTTTGTATATATGTTTGTATATGTTTGTATATATGTTTGTGTATATTTGTATATGCTAGTATTTTTTCGGTTAAGCGTGTTTATGTATGTGTATGTAAGTATGTGTAGGTATGTATGTATGTGTATGTTGTATGTATGCATGCATGTATTAATGTATGTATGTATGTATGTTTGTTTGTATATATGTATGTATGTATGTGCACGGAGGGCAGTCACACGCAAAAGCTCGATGTTAAGCCTTCAGACATGAAAGTTGTTGTTGATGGTTGTTGCTATGATGTTGTTGTTGTTTTTGTATGTATGTGTGTGTGTTGTGTATGTTGTTGTAGTTGTATGTTGTTGTTTTGAGAGCTGTTTTTGTAGTTATGTTTAACATTGTTATGTGTCGTTGTTTGTTTATTTTGTTGTTAGTTTGTTGGGATTAAGTGCTGTTGGTTGCTACTGTAATGTTTCATTGTGACTTTGTTCTGAATTTTTTATGTACTGTTGTGTTGCTGGTGTATTTTTGACGTATTGTTGTTGTTGATGCGATTAAGTATTACTTTTTGTTGTTGTTGTTGTTGTGAATGTTATCGCTATATTGTAATATTTAATCTTCGATCTGCAATTTTTCTAACGCTGCTTATACATCTAGCATTTGAAAAGCGTGATCAGATACTTAATTTTGTAGTAAAAGTTTGAAAATATTTCTGAAATATTCCCAAAGAATAGTTTTTTTAGAGACTTACCTAAAGAATAAATATATCTGATAAAATTTGTCAGTTTGATTGCTTATTATTTCAAGGCGTTTATAATGGTAGATTTTTGTGCGTATGCATGAAAATGTGCAGTACAAGTTTGGATCTTATGAAATTATTTATATGAATATTTGTGTTAATGTGTGTGTGTATGTTTGTGTGTGTGCGTGTGTATATATGTGTGTTTGTTTGTTTGTGTGCGTGCGTGCGGTGTGTGTTGTGTGCGTGCGAGTGTTTGATTTGCATAGAAGTTGATATTGATCTGTTAATGTGCGGATGAGTTTGCGCATAATCTATGATGTTTGTATTCATTATCATGCCAATCATACTTATATCACTATGTGTGTATGTATGTATGTATGCGTGTGCGTTTGTATGTATGTGTGTATATGTGTGTACCTGTGAATATGTAAATGTGTGTGCAAGTATGTGTTTGTGTGTGTGTTAAAAGGTATCGTATCGTATCGTATCGTTTGTACGTGCGTGCAAAAATATCATCTCCAACATCGTCATCATTGTCGTCATCATTGTTGTTACCCTCCTCCTCATCATCATCATCATTCTCTCCATCATTATCACCACAACCATCATCATCATCGTCATCATTTTCACCATCATCTGCCATCCAGACTCAGATAGAGATATGATCGTTAGCTTGCTTTTGAGTTTTAAACGTTTAAACTTTACGTAATACAATCATACCACAATTATAGAAAGCTCTCTTAGAAATTATTATTATTATCATTAAGATTATTATTATTGTATTATTATTTTATTATTTTTATTTTATTGTTATTTTTTCATATTGTTACATATATTATTTTAATATTGTTACCTTTAAATTAGTTTATTTTTGGTCAAACTAAATTCCAACAGAAATTCTAAGAATTTATTATCATTATTACTATTACTATTATTATTACTTTTATTATTATTATTATTATTATTACATTTTTAATATTATTATTAATATTTCATATTGTTACTTAAACTATTTGAAATTTTTTAGAGTAAAAAAATCATTTAGTTTTTTTTTGTCATATTAAACTTTAACAGGACTGCTAAACAAGAGGAAACCAGAAGAAGGTATATTATTATTTCAAGTTTATCTGACTAACGTGTAGTAAAAGTTTTTTTCATGAGATATGAAAATACTGTTTGGTTACTGAGTTACTGCTTGAAATGTGTGTTATACCGTAAGTATTATCATGCATGAAATATTTACTGTAGTGTGTTTTTATTCAAATGCTGAATTACATAAGAGGTTTTTTTTTTATATTTTATGAATATTTTCACGTAAATTCGTTAAGCAACAACTGCTATTAAACTAAGGCCTCAACGACAAACCAACAACGTAAGAAAAAAAAAACAATTGGCTATCAAATACGCAACTAACAAACAAACAAATCACAAACCAGACCACATACCTACAGCTAGCTACAAAAAAAAAATTAACTTTAGCACAAAACAACAACAAACAAACACCTACACACAACCTACCACACACACAGACAGATAGACACACACAGGCAAACAGACACACAGACACACACACACACACAGATGCCCTGACTAGCAATGAAAGTTGCGACAGCAGTCCAAGAGCCAACGAGACAGACGAGCAGATGAGAATGCGATTGAAGAGGAAACTTCAGAGGAATAGGACGTCATTCACCACACAACAAATTGAAGATTTAGAAAAAGGTCTGTATGTAGGGGATGGTGTCTTGTCTTGATCTGTCGTTCATTCGTTTGTTCTTTCGTTCTTTTGTTCATTCATTCATCCATTCATCCATTTATTCATTCGTTCGTTCGTTCGTTCATCCATTCATTCATCCATCCGTTTGGCAGCAGATAAACCATAGATATAATAACTTTTTACTTTTTGTAACGATAAACGCCATAGATATAATAAAAAATAATAAAATAATAATTTATATAATTGATTAATTAATAATTGTAATTAATAATAATTAAAATCTCAAAGAATTCGAAAAGACTCACTACCCAGACGTCTTCGCGCGAGAAAGATTGGCTCAAAAACTCGATCTCCCTGAAGCTAGGATACAGGTGATGATGATGATGATGATGACAGTGGTAGTGATGACGATGGTATTGGCGATGATGATGATGATGATAGGGTAATGATAATGGTGACGGTGATTAGGACGATGACAATGACGAGAATGTTGTTGATTTTGTTGGTGGTAACTCTGCTAAAGAAGAAAAATATGATGATGATGTTGATGACGACGACGACGATGATGATGATGATGAGAATGATGATGACGATGATGATCATGATGATGATGACGGTGATGATGATGATGATGATGATGATGATGATGATGATGATGATGACAGGTCTGGTTTTCAAACCGACGAGCAAAATGGCGTCGAGAAGAGAAACTTCGAAATCAGAGGAGAGATGTTGACGGAAGTGGGGGAGGGGAAGTAATTCTTTCAATCCATCAATGTATTCATCCATTCATCAGCCACTACCGACAATGCCTGAGACCTACCGCTACCCTGAGTGAGATGATGATGATGATGATGGTGAGAGTGAATGAGACAATGATGATGAGAGAGAGTAAGAGAGAGAAAAAGAGAAAGAGAGAGTTGATGATAAGAATAAGAAAGATGATGATGTGAATTGTGATGTATGCGATTATGGTAACGAATATTTGAAAATTATAATGTTTGTGTGTATGTGTTTGTAATATGCGTGTGTGTGTTTATATATGTGTGCGCGTGTATTTATAAGTGTGTGACATGTGTGTATATGTATGTGTGTATGTGTGCGTGTGTATGTGTGCGTGTTTATATTTGATGAGCCTACCAAATTATCTTTCCCAATTAACAGTTAGTCGGCAGAAGCGTTTGTTTTATTTTAAATATCATTACCTCAGTGGCGTCAGAGCAGAACGCACGCGTGTGTGTGTACGTGTGTGTACGTGTGTGTGTGTATGTGTGAGTGTGTGTGTGTGGTGTGTGTGTGTGTGTGTGAGATCTTCGATAGTTATTATTTGCAGTGTGAGTGGGTTTTTTTTTAATACGTTTTATCACTTTTTCAATAATAATAATAATGATGATGAAACGTATGTCTAAATACTTTTGGTAAATTGCGGAATCAATAGATCTTTTAATATTTCACTCAACCAATCCCTATTCATCCAACCGACCGACCAATCAACCAACCAACCAACCAGCCAACCAACCAACAAACAAACAAACCATCCAACCAACCAACCTACCAAAAAAACAACCAACTAACCAAACAACCAACCAACTAACCAACCAACCAACCAACCATCTTACCAATTAACCATGTAACTAATCAACCAATTAACCATCCAACCAACCAATAACACAGTTGCATGCCTCCATCCTATTCAATCACATCCAACTTGGTTCAAAACCCAACTTGCCTACAACACGTCAACCCCGTCCCAACGTACCCATGTGAGTAAATGATGATAATAATAATAATAATTATCATTATTATTAATTAACATTTTTATCAATATTATATTCAATTATAAATATTCCTTAATGACAATTTATTAAAAAGTTAAATAAATAATTGCTAAGACGGTAAGGTTTGATGCTTTCAATTGCGTCATCATTATCATCATCACCACGTTATTGCTTTGGTCAGTCATCCTCATCGTCGTTCGTCGTCATCATCATCATCGTCGTCATCATCATCATCATCAATACGGTCATAATTATCATCATCATCATCATCAGACGTTGGTCAGTCTCGGGGTTACGAACATTTGACCTTGACCGGCTACTCGAGGTCATCCTGCAATTCGAACATTCACCCGCCACCACCCTCCAATGCACCGGTTTTTTTTATTTGTTTTAATTGTTTTTATTTATCCATTCGTTTATTTATTTAAAAAAAAATAAGTTTTCGTTTCAAAATAATATTTTTGATCATTTCATTTTTATCAAATTTTTATTTCAAATATTTTTTCACCGTCATCATCATTAATTATCACTAATCACTATTCATTATCATGACCTCTGCAACCAACATCATCACCATCATCACCATCACAATCATCATCATTATCACCACCACCCTCATCATCAACACCATCAACATCATAATCATTATAACCTGAGCCATCATCATTATAACTCTACCACCATCACCACCATCATCATCATCATTTACCTCCAAGGTTTAATATCCCCCGGAGTATCAGTGCCCCTCCAGGTGCCAGGGACCGCACCCCACTTCCACGACCTCAACTCCTCCATGGTCTCCATGACTAGCCAGTATTGGCCTCGTCTATGAAGATGAACTGGAGACTATAAACAAACAAAAATTATATTTACCGCATTATGACGTCATCGTCTATTTATTGTTTTTTAATTATTTTTAATTTTTCTTAAAGTTATTTATCACGTGACTAATGAATGATGGCTTAAGTGTAGCGACGGTAACGAAATGAATAAATAACAAAGCGAAAATTATCTTCGCCACATTATGACGTCATCATCTATTCACTATTTTTTAATTATTTTAAATGTTTTTATTATTGTTATTATTTATTATTTATTTATCAATTACGTAATTAATAAATGAATTACGTCTTAAGGTTAACGAGAGTAATTAAGTAAATTATGATGATGAGAAAGGGAGAGATACACACGCGCACACACACACACACACACACATACACACACACACATACACGCACACACACTCACACACACAAACAAGCCAAAAAATTTCTCACAGAAATACACACTTGTATATAATAATAGTAATATTACATTTAATTAAATTAATCTAGAAACCAGTTTTAAACGTTCATCCTTGTAAATAATGTAAATAGTTGAACATACACACAAACAAACAAACAAACAAACATACTAACACAAAAATTCATGTATACATAAATACATACAACGAAACGAAACGAAAGACATACAAACAATCAAACATACAAACATCCAAACAAACAAACAAACAAACATACATACATACACAAATTTTTACACATACATGCGTTTAATGAGTGTAAAATTTCTTTATATATTCGTATTTTATTTGTTTAATCAGCTAATTTTTCAATTAATTAGTTAATTTATTGAAATTTGATTAATAATTTATACATTTAATTATTCAATTTATTCATATGTTAAAAAGTTCATTTGCTGTTTGAGATAAAATCTGACACACACTGGGGGAAAAGTTATTGAAAGTTTCAACAAACGAAAAACCAAAGCCTAACTTTAAATCCATTAAATTATTTCACCAACGATAAAACATCGACCTGTTAGGGCGGAAGAAAAATAATGTTCCCAATCATCAACAAATACACAAACATATACACAAACATATACACAAACATATACACAAACATATACACAAACATACACACACCTATAACACACATATACAAACACATATACACCCACATAACATACATATACAAACAGGTATACAGACATATACACACTTATAACACACATATACACAGCCTGTTATAGCGGAAAAAGAATTTAATTTTTATTATTCGAAAACCATCCAACCAAAAAAAACAAACTAATCAATCAGACAACCAGCCAACTAACCAACCATCTAATCAACTAACCAACTAACCAACCAATCAACCATCCAACCAATCAATCAACCGATCGATCAACCAACCAATTGGCTAATCAGCAAAACAACTTACTAACCAACCAATCAGACTATCAACCATTCAACCAGCCAACCAATCAGACTATCAACCATTCAACCAGCCAACCAATCAAACTATCAACCATTCAACCAGCCAACCAATCAATCAAATGATTTAAAATAGATTCACTGCATGATACATCTTCTAATACGACACGTTCAACTCTTGTAGACATTTATAGAGTACCGTTATTAATCTTTGTGTGTGTGTGCGTGCGTGTGTGTGCGTGCGTGCGTGTGCTTGTGTGTGTGTGTGTGTGTGTGGCGTATTGTGGCGTTTTTGTACAGAGAATTTTTGAATTCTTTTAATATTTTTCATTTCCGCTTTAATTTAATGCAAGTCAATTGTTTTATGCCATTTATTAATAAACCAAATATATACATAAACATAAGCACACATACATACACAAACACACACACATACATAAAGATAAATACACATATACACATATAACCACAATTTGAAATACAAAAAATAAGTGCCTACCTAAGTACGTACATAAGAACGTCACACACAAACACACACACATACAAGAACATACATTCAAAAAAAAATACATACAAACACTCACTCACACGCACACACATGCAGGCTTCCATGTTTAATACTGACATGCATGCATACATTATAAATAATACACACATACATACATGCAAACATAAGCACACACACAAACACACACACACACGAAACGTGTAGCCCTAGAGACTAGACTACAACAGTATGTAGATGATTGACTTATTAATTGCAGAAGCTTTATTGCATGCGTGTGAGTGTGTGTGTGTGTTTGTGTGTGTGTGTTTGTGTTTATATGTATGTATGCATGTATGTATGTATGTATGTATGTATGTATGTATGTATGTATGTATGTATGTATGTATGTATGTATGTATGTATGTATGTATGTATGTATGTATGTATGTATGTATGTATGTATGTATGTATGTATGTATGTATGTATGTATGTATGTATGTATGTATGTATGTATGTGTGTGTGTAGCTACTAACTACTGTTTTGTGTGCTTCGTACAATTTGTAATGCGTTTATTATTGTAAAAACATACACATACATGTATCTGTGATGCCTATGTTATTGTTGTTGATAATTAGGTCGTTTATGGTGGTAATGATGGTGGTAATGATGATTAAACAAATGACGATGATGATGGTGGTGATGAAAATGATGATGAGGATGACGACGACGACGATGATGATTGAGATGAGGAGTGTGAGTTTTGGTAATGATACCTACACACGTTAATGATGATTAGGATGACTCCAACAGTAAGATCATGATCTTAGGAATCATGAAGAGAATGATGATGACGATGATGGCATACTTTTTTATGCTGATAATAATAGTTTTGAATGACTATTGATGATAATGTTGAGTATGATGATGATGATGATGACGACGACGACGATGATGATGACAACGACGATGATGATGATGATGGCTGAAAAGGATGATGATGATGATGATGATATCAAATAAAAGTTGTCGTGTGCTTAAGGAGCGTGAAGAAGCGTACATCAGCATTGTCGGCTTGTTATGGAGTCGTTTGATTGCTAATTTGAGGCAACAACACCTGTCATACGAACAAACCTTTCATCTTTTGTCGGCAACCCACTCTCTCTTTCTCTCTCCCTCCCTATCTCTCTTTCTCTCTCTCTCTCTCACTCTCTATCTGTTTTAGTCATCTATTTTTCTTCCTCTGTGTCTATCTTTTTCTTTTTCACTCTCTTTCTCCTTTCTCTCTTTCTCTCTCTTTCTCTCTCTATCTGTCTCTCTGTCTCTCTCTTCTCTTCATTTTTTCTCCATTTCTCTTTAACATCTTTTTTCTAATTTTCTCTCTCTCTCTCTCTCTCTCTCTCTTTATGCTCTTCTTTCTATCGTTTTTTTCTCTGTTCCCATTCAAATCTTTCTATCCTGTCACTTTTTAGTTCTATCTCTCTCTGAATTTCATTTTCTTTAAAGGTTCGTCTACCTCTTTGATTTCATTGTTTGTTTTAATTTAAACAAATTGTCGTCGCACGGATCACGATGACTGATTTTCTGTTATAACTTATTGTATTAATTAATTATTAACTAATTAATTAATTTATTTGTTTAATTAAAAATTTTGTGTGGTTCGTTAGTTAATAAGATTTTTATGTGTTTGTTTGTGTGTGCGTATGTGTGTGTATTTATGAATATTATAAATCGGTAATGTACGACAATATTTTATAAATGTAATTTATTATGAGTGTGTTTGTGTGTGTATGTATGTTTGTGTGTGTGCGTGGGTTTACAATAACACAATAACAACACATAAAACAACATCCAAAATACTACAATAATATAAGCAATAATCATAATAACAACAACAACAACAACCACAACTCTGTCTTGGATTAGTGCGGTGCTCGTCTTCACTTCAATTCACTTTTACTCATCGGTGATTGCTTTAATTGGATAGGATAATGTATGTCATCGTATGTGTGTGTATGCGTGTATATAGGTGTATGGATTTCTATGTTATTGTTTGTAAGTGTCTGTTCCATTTTTTTGACATAATTTAAATGTAAATCGGTAATACATGCTGATGAAATAATTTCAGATGAAAATATGGGTTTCTGCAATTGAAAAACACGGTTAAAAGGAAGGTAAAGAAGTATAGAGAAAAAAACAGAAAGAAAGAGGAAAAAAGAGAGTGAAAGTGAAAGAGAGAGTGAGAAAGTGAGAGAGAGAGAGAGAGTGAGAGAATCTTGTGGCACTGGCCGCCATGGTCAAGTCGAATACGAACTAGAAATTGGGACACAAGAGATGTCATTATTCACCTATTCCATCTTGTGAAAGCCTATCGTATATATATATATATTAGGCAATTATTTATTTTAATTTAATTTTTTGGTTTTTGTTATTTTTTCGTTATTTTTTTTTATTTTAACTTTTTCCTCTCTTTGATCTGTAATCGTTGACTGGCAAGAGTGATTAGCGGATATTGGGAAGGGAATTAAGTTAACACTTGAGCGCATTTAATGAGCAAAAACTGGATGAAGGTTAACAAGCGTCATCAAATTCTCCCTCGCCAACTCTATATATCTTCTGTTTTATTTTCTCTCTCTCTCTCTCTCTCCTCTCCCTCCCTCTCTCTCTCTCTCGGTTTTTCTGTTTTCCTTTTTTGTTCTTAATCTTTCTCTCGTTCTTTCCTAACAGTAATTTAGTTATTTGTTTCAAATGTTTAATTCAGATTTCTGTGTTCATATACATTCCCAGAGGTTTGTTATCAACATCAATGATACAGATATCTCAACTTTCATTAAATAAAAAAGGCACGTTTCAGATAAAAAAAAAACAAAAAATTAAAAAATATATTTTTCTTTGTGACTAAAGCTGATTGTATGCTATCAATTTTACATTGTAGTTTTTAGGAGACTACTCTAAAATTTTTATTTATTTTACAAACATAAACAAACAAACAAATTTTTACTAAAAAGTCTGTAGTAAAATATCAATAGAATGAAATTGCTACTATTTTCCTCATTTTTCGAATTATTTTAAAAGAATCCTTCAACTCTCACGTGTGTGTTATTAGTTTAATGGATCGTGAAACGTGATCATCCTAATTAAATTGATCAGCATGTTTTAGATATACATGTTGTATATAAAAGTATCAGCTATCTGTAAAATTGCATTTCAAGAGTCAACGTATTTGAAATTGAAATAAAATATTTTTTATTGTTGGAGTTCATTAGATAAAATAATAATATTTATTTACTGAAATGTTTTACAGTAACTGTTTGGCAGTGATTTGCGTTCTGTGTTTGTGCTGCAATTTTTACGTCTCAGGCAACAAAAAAGGTTGAAAATGAAAGTTAAAGTTTTATTTTTACAAGCCAACAAGCAATTAATTTCTAAGTTCAATTTTTATTTTTTTGCTTTTTATTAAATATTTCTGGCAAACGCATGTTTGTCTTTACAAATTGTTCATCAGTACATTCGCAAGAACTTACGCATCATATCTAATACACGACGATATATCATTACACATTTAAATAATTTTACATTAAAAATATGTTTTAATAAGTTTGTAAAAAAACATTATATAGATTTATAAATGTTAAACAAAAATATTTTATTTCAAAGAACATTTCAACATTGAATCGACAAAGATATAAAACCATGCTGTAGGTCTCCGTTTAATAAAGTATAATTTAAACAATTTATTTCTCTTGTTAAAATGACTCAACAGCGAACTGTTTAGAAAACCTCAAATTCCAGTTTCTGGTCGATAGAGAGGGTACAAAAGTTGAGTTTGATGTGAAATTTGAAGACAGTGAAGAATACGAGCCTGGAGAATTTACTGTTAGTTTTGTCTGCTTGTATATATATATATATATATATACATATATATATATATACATATATATATATATATATATATATCGTTCGTTTTAAATTCATCTTTAACTATATAACTATTTGTTGAATTATAAGTTTTATATTGATTAAATTATATTATTACCGATAAAATGATCTCTATTATTTATTTTTTGAGTGCCGTTATAGAGGAAAAGATATATCGGTTGGCGCTGACTCGGGCTATGGAATTGAAGAGGACAAATACTTCGTAATTTATTTTAATTTAATTTAATTTTAATTCAACTGTATTTAGATGAAACTAAGTGGATTATTAATTGAATGTTATACAATAGTTTTTTTGTATTATTTAATAATTATAATAACAATTTTTTAATTATCTTTGAATTGAAATACTGTAATCATTAACATCGTTCTGCTATTCAAGCCACAAAATATTATAAAATTCCACAAAGATGTAATTAATCTTCAGTAATAAAGAAATAATTTTTAATAAACTAAATAATAAATATAAAGATAGACAGACAGACAGACAAACAGACAGATAGACAGACAGACAGATAGACATACAGACAGACAGACAGATAGATAAACCATTAACATAGACGGCCAGTTTCAACCACATGGATAGTACGTACCTAGTTGAACCACTGTTGATCGAGGAGCCTGATGAATCTTCAGTTGTCAATGCAATAAACGGAGTTGAGTATTTAGTCCGTAGGATAAATGGTATGCCCTATTTTATGGAGTTATCCCTAATTTTATTATTATTATTATTGTTGTTCTTGTTGTTGATGTTATTATCATTACTCATCTTATTTTTATTGTTATTAATTCTGTTTTAATTAATTTTCGAAGGCAGGGGTGGGCAAACTTTTTGTTGTGAGGGCCGCATTTTACCTTAGTAGGGCCGTATATGTACTTAAATAGCAAATTTTTTCGACCCGGGAGAAAATTTTTTAAGATTTGTGGTTCCTTTTTTTGGTCATAATGTCTGGCTGACAACATTTTTTTGGCAAACAATGCCGCATAACCCACCCCTGCTCAAAGATATCAACAACACACAAGTCTGAACCAAAAGCATCACTCGCAGATTCATATAACAAACCAGGTTTAATAATAAACTAACTCTCTCCGTAAAAGCCTTAACCATTAAACTAACAAACCATCTTACCACTGATTATTATATTTTTATTTAAAATACAACAGCCCACTGCTCAGACTCTCTTTCTTTCACGTTCACAATCGACGGCAGAGGTCGCGAAGTTAAGTTCGTGGCTGCGTTCGAGAACATTGAGGAGTATGAGCCAGGAGAGTTTATCGTTAGTTCAATTCTTCATTACAATTCTTCCTTTAAGTAGGGTACTGATGGCTTTGTTACTTCATTTGCTTGCTACGTAATTAGGAATTATTAACTTTAATTACGAATTTTTTACTATAAAAAAGAAAAATTATATTTCTGTTTAGTGTCGCTACAAAGGAAAGGGTATAACTGTTGGAGCCGATCCAGGCTATGGAACCGAAGAAGACAAATTTTTTGTAAAGGAACATTTTTTTTGAATTATTTTATCACAATATTTTACTAATTTCTTCTTGCTATTAACTATAAAACTACAGAATCAGACCATTTAACCATTAAACTATCACGCACTTTAATTAATTAAATAGTCTAAAAATTTTGAATTAATTCATCTGAAATTTTTAAAAACACACACCTACAAAATTTACTTGTACAGTCGGCTAAGTTTGAATACATGGGCGATACGTATGCAGTTGAACCAGTGTTAATCGAGCAGCCTGACGAGTTTTCAATTCTCAATGTTATCAACGGAGTTGAGTATCTAGTCACTAAGAAGCATGGTAATCGATTTTCACTTTTTACACTTTTAATTAATTCATTCACTCGCTCATTCGTTCGTTCGTTCGTTCGTTCGTTCATTCATTCATTCACATTTAATTGTTGTAAAATATTCAAATCTTTTGAAATCCTTCTTACCAAAACAGACTAAAAATTCTTCGAAAAATGATAACTTCCAGCCAATGAAGAAGATGCGTAATTCATAAACATGATGATGCGATTTGAATGAAAGATATTATATCAAAACGTTACTGAATAAACACCTAACGTATGTGTCATCATTCGTTTGGTCGTAGCATTTTAAAACAATAAATTAAACATTTGAAAGGATAAAAAATTTTCTTTTAACCAAAAATTTAATAACAATCAACATATTACTACAATATTTAAAACCATACCAAGAATGCTTAAACTTTTCATCATGTAATAAAATATATTTTTATAATATATTTTATATTATCTTCTTCTTTCTCGTGCCTTATCCTTTCAGGACATTGGCGACCATCGACCTCCACAAAAGCCGATCCTTAACACTTTGTAGTAGTTGAAATGTGGTGATACTCAACAAGTGACACAAGGACTTCACGAATGTTCTTCGTTGTTGACCGCGATCTCTTTTCCTTGCAATCTTTCCAGTAGTTGTTAGATTTTCCATTCCTTCCTTCCACGTGATGTGACCAAAAAACTTTAACTGCCCCGTCGGATTATCTGTAGTAATTTCTTCTTTTCATAACCGGACCGTTTTAACACATCCTCATTCGAAGTGTGAGAGGTCCAACTAATTTTCATAACTCTTCTCAAAAACCACATTTTTGTTCGACTAATTTAAATTATACTAAATTATTATTATTATATTATATTATTACACTGTATCATTATAATTATATTATTTTGTTATGTAGCTTCATACATTATATACATTTTCGCATATTTTTCCCATTCTTACAACTTACGTATAAAACTAATTAATTAGAATATTGTAAAAAAGCGAAGAAAAATGTTTCACATTAAATTTTATTGTCAAAAATATTCATAAGGAAAGAAATTTTGACTTAACAAAAGCTATTTATGTTTTTTTATATTATGATAGAAGGTTTCAAACAAGTGACCATTTCAGATGGAACATTCTTGTCTTCTCTTCAGCGAAAGAAAATTTTGTCTTTCACAGGAATTATTCAGTGGATTGAAGTAGGAATCAGCTGGGCAGGTCTCAATGCTAGCCGAGCCGTTTATAAGGTGGACATACTTTCTGCAATCATTCGCCACCGGGTAATAAGCCGATCTATCTTTTTCTGAAATTAATTCGTCAATCAAACGTCTTAAAAAATGTTGTCCGACAATTTATTAAACTCTATTTATGTCTAACCGCTTGCTGTTGGCTGATAACTTTCGAAATTTCTTCCATCAGTTGGAGATTGCTGGACAATATCGAACAGTTGACTTGGTTGTGAAGTTTAAAAGTTGAGGTAATACGTTGTAAATTTTAAATTTGAGGTAACATTAAACAAAATCCTACCTGATAATTGAGGTTAAGTCTAATTTGAAATTTTTAAAATAAAAAAAAAGAATAAAAAAACATTAACAAAGAAATTGTGTGAAATGTAAGTGATTCGGCGGAGTTCAAACGATTGTCAAAGCACAAAATACTGAAATTGTATTTTCTACCGTGTGTATGCAATACATTACTTTTATCAAATTGATTGTAAATTCCTGTATGTAAATGTTTGCATAGATGCCTGCGTTATTTCTGGTGATAAAAAGATTTTTTAGAAACAAAATAAATGAGAAAGATGGACATACTTTATGTCACGTTCTCCACTTAGAACTTTCAAAAGTGGGAACCTCAGTCCGGTGTTACAAAAATTTCCATTGAAATCATCAAATTGCAGATTCCAGGCCATACACCCGCCGTAATTTTTTTGGTATAAGTAATCGACCTTAAGCAAATGAAGATGTTTAATGCCGACAAAAATGATGTTGTTTATCACCAACGTATTTCAATAAAATTTTCTATGTTGTTGTTAATTACACTGTTGTTAAAGACAAGTAAGATAACCTTTCTGACAAGGCTTCGTTCGTTTTCATAACTGATCCAAAGGTTTTTGTAGACGAGGTACGATGCTTGGTGTTCATCAGACCAGTAAAATTTAGTTTCAGGATTATTGATGTACGTCAAACATATCTTCATTAAAATGATTTCAAATTGTGAAGTTTATTATAAAAAATCTTTCACAAAAAGTGTCGAAATCTGTCAAAATCGCCCTCAACTGACCTCAGCGTAAGACACTACTCCTGGTATATGACTATACTCTCCAGATGGACATGGACCAGCAACAAGCGCGCCGACTTTTGTGTTGTTGGAATCCTCCAATATGAAGCACCTGCCGTACAATGGAACGCCTACAACTATTTTTGATGGCTCAACTCCACTCAGTTCAACGTAGCTAGTACTCCAACTCTATAATTTAAATGTTTTATTGTGTGTATATGTTAATAATTTGTTTTATTATGGACGCAAAAAATAATAATATAGAAATTAAATAATTTCAAAATATTCTTCAAAATCTAACCAATGATGATGAATTGTTGTTAGAGAACAATGGTGAATTGTGTCTTGTAACATTCTGCGACCACCCATCATAATCATACACTATTATGCTAACGAAGTTCAGATTTCTGATTAAGAGTTATATATATATATATATATTACAATATTCTATAAATTCTACAGAATGTTTGGCGTTAATATGTTTGTAGTTCGTTTTTTCGATTTTTATCACTTAAGTTTTTTGGTGAACGTTTAGTTTATTAAAATACAAAATAAACTTATTTTTCGAATTCATGCTGGTATATATTATATATATATATATATATATATATATATATATATTATATATATATATATATATATATATATATGAATAGTCAGCTGAAATAAAATAAGCTTTGTTTAAATGATTTACCTAAATGTTATGTGGAATCATTTTCGTATCAGACAGTTACGCAAAATCTCAATAGTCATTCGTAAAAAGCCGAACGAAATTTTCATTAGTTAGTAGTGAAACTTTCCTTACTTGTGCAGCTGATCAAGTTCGAAGCCATTCTTAATGTCCTCCGTGTTTCCGGGTACTGCAATGCTCAATTCCATCGAGGGTTTGCCTGTTGTCCTGCTTTCTGATGTAAAGGCATCACGCAGACCCTACGTTAGCGTGTAATGTGCGTCGAAATTTATGTTTGTCATTTTATTGAAAAAAAATTTATTTAAAACAAATATTGGATAATTAAATAAAAAATATCAAAATGATTTAAACAACAATCTGAAAAAAAAAATTAAATTCGAGTAAAAAATTAGAAATATAATCAGCCAAAAAAGACAGACCTGAATCAAATAGGTGAGTTTTTGTTTGCATTCATTTATAGGGTGGTAGAAGTGGAAATCGAGTCCGTCTAAATTCCACTTCCTCAAATATTCCACACTCTGATTGATGAAATGTTTCCTGCTCACATGGTTCGACAACATCATGCTTAGATCCGTGTTTATCTCGTTCCAACCTCCAATAGATAACATCACCTTTAAATCTCTATTCGTCTCCTTTAATTTGATGAGCTCTTCAAAGCTGACAGTAAATATTTTGAAAATATTTTTTAAATTTAATTTAATGAAATGTTATAAATCCGAATAAATGCAATTTAAAATTAGCAAAATGTTAGATCATTGTTTATTTGAGAAAGAACCGGATTTAGGAAAAGGGTGGGTTGGGCTATCCGGTTCCCACAGAAAAGGGCCCTCAAAATGTACAAAGTACGATGGGTCAGCCAATTTTATGTTTTCCCTGAACGTTAAAAAATGTTTTTTTAGTGAAGAAAATTAGGAGCTACCGCATCTTTGCTGCCTTGCGGCCTCCTAATATCTAAATCAGACTCTGATTAAAATTACCCTCAAGCTCTAACTCACATTTTTTCGTCATTCTCTTCATAAATCCCAAGTGTGATATTTTCCAGCTTCACAAACGCGTATATGAGATGCGTGCAGAGAGATGTATCAACGTCTTGAGGAGAAAATATAGAGATTTTATCTTGGCGCTGGTCCCAGCGTAGGTAATAACAAACTGTCCTGAAATCTGAAATGTCATTCTTGCTTTAATAATAGGTAATAATTTCCTCCAACATACTTAATGTTGAATTAGGAGTTTAACTATGAAATAAACTGGAATGACTAACAAAACAAGAATTTTCAACAATTAACAAATGAAAATTTAAAAAGGCAAATTTAAAAAAATTTAAAAAGATATAAAATTTGTTTGGTTGAAACTATCGAACAATGGGAGACGGTGTTGTTAGGGGAGGCTGTGGTTGAGTCAGTTGTCGATTCGAAGTCGTTTTCAGCCTGACTGCTTTCGGATGAATATGTTATGATCAGTTATTTTTGTTATACTCCAATATCAATCTGTGATCTTACTATTTATTTACAGAAATTTACATCTTTTTCAACAACAATGATTTTAGAATTTTAAAGTTTAACTTCATAATCTTACGTTTCATTCTTAAAATAATTTGAATTACTTCAAAGACGATAACAGAGGATAATATTCATTGGAGGTACAGCACTCCCCAATGAAATCATCAAACCCTATGTTCCAGACCATCCATCCGCCATACTCCATGGACTGCACGAAATTTAGCTGCACCAAACGGGTTGAATGATTTGTTTTAATTAGCAATTTAAAATAAAATTTGATGTTATTTAGGGAAAAAATACCGAATTGTCTGTCGTAATTCGCAATACAATTTTACGTAAATTGTATAAAATGTTCGCTGAGCTGGAAATTTGGTTGAAAATTGTCAGTTTTGTGGGAAAATATAAAAATCTGTCAGATAATTAAGTGACTTTGAATACTTTTTAACTAATATTTTTTTTAAAAGATACAGTGAATAAAAATTAAGATTACTTTTTCGGCAAGACTTTTTTTGTCTTCGTATGATACCCACACATTTTCACTGACCAGATAAGTGGCGTAATATTTATCAGACCAGAAGACTTGGGTTTCAGGTTCAGACAGAAATATTTCGCATATCTTATTGAACAGTTTCAAATTCAAAATATTTCACCCGAAATTTGTACGAAAATGATGTGAAAGGAAGTTGACAAATATTTTTTAAAAAGTTACGGTGAATAAGAGTTAAGATTATTGAACGGTTTCAAAGAGGTTGACCAACTGACTTCACGATAGGACAGAACACCAGATTGATTGGTGTAAAAGCCGGCAGCACACGGCCCAATGACAGGTGCTCCGACTTGATGGTTGTAGAAATCTTCAAGTATGAAACATCGCCCGTAAAATAAAATTCCAATGACTATTTTTGATGGCTCTAATTCGCCCAGTGCTTCTACATATTCAACAGTCCAAAACTTTGGATTAATGTGAACATTAAATTTATCATCGGCAGGTAAGACATGATAAGATATGATCAGTAACAATAGTTAGTTACCAAAGACAGTCTGTCGTCAGAGTGTAGCGGGAAATTATGGTCCGTAACATTCTGCTGGACTCCGTGATAATCATACGCCATTATGCTTATGAAATCCAAGTTTCTGGTTTGCGTATATATATTATTTATGTTAAATTTAATCTTTCTCATTTAATTTTTAGCAAGCCTAATTAATGTGAATGCTTCATTGAATTATTTCTAATTATCCTACACATCCAATTTAACCGTTAAATTTATTGACCTTGTCACATCTGTCTTAATTTCTCGTGTCGTTAACATACCTCTGTACGGTTAAACGGAAACTTTGCATACTTATTCACTACCAGTGATAACGCACCAGCTTGTTATCTAACAGATTATATCATTTAAACAAACTACTCTAAGGATTAACCACTTACTTATTTGTACGGCCAACATCTGACTGTTTGGGGTGATTTTTATGTTAATTGTAATTAGTGATTAAATGAACTTTTCCACTTGTTAATTTTGTCAGTTGATACGATACCTAAAAGTAGAAAGCGTACTTTTGAATTTCTTTCAGATCGTATTCGCGTCTAATGGTTTCTTTGTGAACTGGGATTGCGATACTTAACTGTAGCGACGAACGACCGGGAGCTCCGACGTCTCTCGAAAACTCATCGCGAATTTCCTTTTCATATTCACACAAATAATTAAATTTACAATGCAGTGATAACATAGATAGTAACAATTTTGAGATTCTTTTTCAAAATCTTTAACAAATAAATATTTTAAAAGTGTCAAACATTGATGGATTTTTCTGGTTTTGTTTAGGTACAAAAAAAATTTGATTTTACATTATTTAAACATTTGAAACATTTAAAATCTTACAATATTATCGTTATAACTATAAGTAAGCATAGTAAAGAATCATTTCGAAACTACCAAAAAAAACCGAACCTGAATGAAAGAAGTAACTTTCTGTTTGTCATAGCCACCTGAAGGACGGAACATTATGTCAAATCCATCGAAATTGAACTTCCTCAAAAAACTGACTAACTGGCGCATGAAATGACCACGGCTCGACTGACTTGACAGAGCTTTGGCGAATTCAACACTTCCTACTTCTCCAGTATCAATCGTTAACATTACTTTCCAATCTTTGTTTCTCCCTTTTAGGTAAGTCACTTGCTCGTTACTGGAAATATTTTTTTTCATTATTATAGTGCTATAAAAAGAATTCAAGAATTAAGAAAGTATCATCTTGATAATAAATAACTAAATACTCTTTCACTTTTTTTGTGAATAAATGGAATTAAAAAAAATATATATATATATAGATAATGAAATATAGTTTCATGATTTTATATAAATTAAAAAAATCGTTCCTAGAAAAAATTTACCCACAGTTTCTTATCATTTTCTTCATAAGTTTCAATTTGGTTATTTTGAAGTTTAACTGCAGGGTACATTATGTGCGTGCAGTAGGATGGGTGCATGCTCTCTATGTTGAAATGTTCATTCTTGTCTTTCAATGACGGATAGTAACAGACCTTTTTAAATTCTAGAATTTGAATATAAAACATTTTCAATAATTAATCAAACAAATTAAAATCGTGTAGGTACGTCTGAGAAGAATTTCACGTAAGACACAAAAATGCTTTCAAAATTTTTACCGAAAATCTTAGCGCAAAAATTTTTATCAACTGCAAGAAAAATCTTTTATAAAATACAATTCAATCTTTCATCAATAAACCAAATTTTTCAAAAATAAGAATAAAATAAAGAGAAAATAAAATTCGAATGATAACTTCAATGAAACACAAAAAAATAAAATAAAACCTGCAACTAGGCAACAACTGAAATAAACCAGTAACACAAAGACTTCTATGAAGCTGTGCTGCATCTTAGACCATTAAAAAAAAATGGAAATTTTTTATGCATGAGTAGGTGATGTTATATTTGCAGAGGTCAACAATTTGCAGCTAGATCATTTTATTGTAGAGAGAGAGAGAGAGAGAGAGAGAGAGAGAGAGAGAGAGAGAGAGAGAGAGAGAGAGAGAGAGAGAGAGAGAGAGAGAGAGAGAGAGAGAGAGAGAGAGAGAGAGATAAAGAGAAAGATAGAGAGAGAGGGAGAGAGATAAACATACATATTTAGAGATATTATAGAGATATTATAGAGATATTTAGAGATATTATAGATATAATTAAACGATTAACATCATACGTTCTTACGTGTTAGACCGACAGGCCGAAAAATTTCTTATCGATTTGGCTTAAATATTTCATATAAGCTATTGACTATATTTTAAATAATAATTTTAAAAAATAGTACGTATAAGCTATTGACTATTTTTACTAACTGACTTACTATTGACTAATTTAAAAAATATGAGAATGTTACTTTTCAAGGGATTATAAGATGGCCCTCAAGTATAATTTTTTGTTGCGGGCCAAACAAGATGATAATATAAAATAAAAATTTTTCATCAATCGAATTTTCCATCAACGTATGAGCGTATTTAATACTGAAATCAACTTATTTAACAAAAAATAAAATCTTAGCATACATTTTAATAATTATGTTTAATAAGTTATAGGCCGTGTTATCTGACCCGAAGCTCCAAAAAGCTCCCACAAAGCCTGCCAAGGGCCTGCCATCATATTTTACCATATATATCTGCAACGCCTTTATACAAATGATTGATTTACTTCCATAATAACAAGTTTTACGAACTTATTGATCATTAAAAACTAAAATAATAATAACAATCATTTTTATTATTATTATTAAATAATTAATTATAATAATACTAATAATAAAATAAACAACAAATGAATGGCAATTCAAAAAACGACAATTGCCATTTTTTAATTAAAAAAAACGTTAAATGTACATTCGCCAATTGCTTTGCATGTATCAACAAGTTTACATTAGTACATGTACCATTATACTAATTATAATTATCGAAGATGTATCAGTATTGTGACCTTTCAAAAATATTGACATTAAATGGTAACTTGGTGAATGCAAAAAGAAGTAATTTTATTTAATTGTAAGTATATATGTTACTCCATAGCAGCAAATTTAATGAAATCGCAAGGCAAAGTTAAAAATTGTAAATCTATTTGCAGTGTTTTTACATGATAAGACGACTTAAGTTAACAGCTTGAGTTGGAGATAAGAAAATATACCTATGTACAATACATTACTTATAGTAAAAAGTTATATTATTTTTAATAGAAGTACTTATATTAGGACGGTAAAAGTGTTTACATTACTTACTGTAACATAAATACAAGTAGTTACATTACTAACCATAAAACGTATTTACAAATTTTATAGTACCACCACCATCTCTATTCCTTGTTTTTATTGTACAACAATTTCTTTCGAGAAACTTATAATGTGTAACTTCAAAACGTTCACAGTTTGATGTAAGTAGATTAAATTTTATTTATTTTTTTTCATTCAAAATATAACAAACGACAGACGAGTTGAAATTGCAAATTCTCTTTCACTGAAACTGGAATTAAATTCCAGTTTGACCGACCGGAGACGAACATGGCCACCAACGAACTGCGCACAAATCGTTTGAAACCCTGTCGACGTACATAAATTCATTCAATCGTTCATTCATTCATTTAATCGTTCATTCATTCATTCGTTCGTTCATTCATTCATTCGGTCATTCATTAATAAATTCTTAACATTTCGGGATACATTTCTATTTTTGCTTGCTACTCAAATTCGTTTGTTCCATTTATTGATCATTACATCGAAACATTTGGGCGAATTTCAGCACAAGCAGTTTACCATCGTCATCTTTATAATCATTGTCGTCATCATCTTCGTCGACATCGTGATCTTCACCACCATCATCATCACAGTAAACTACTTTATTTTCACCATCATCACTGTATACTTTGTAATTATTATTATCATCATCAGCAGCAGCAGCAGCACCATCATCACTATACACATTTCTCCATCATCATCATCATGACATCTTCATCATCATCATCACCATCATCAGCATAGTACTGATCATCATAAACTTTTAGAATGGACTTTCCCTATCATAATCTTTATAATATGTGAGTGTTTCTGATGTCTGATCAATTGAAATCGAACGTGGTTTGAAGATCTGTAAGCACGAGAAACCGTCATCTTATATATTATCGCTTAACCCTGCGATGACGGCTGGGGTAGATTTCTACCCCAGAGCTACTTTCTAAGCATGAAAAAAGAAAACTACGCAAAAGCTTGGGCTCTCTTTTTATGACTTTTCCTAAAATCATCTCTTCTCTTATTTTAAAACTAAAATTTGATAAAAAAATAACGCTAGAGGGCAGTTTTGAATGCATATAGCACCTAGGACGATTGGGGTTGATTTTTACCCCAAATTAAATACACTTTTTTAAATATTTAAAACTTTATGAATGTAATGGAGAACAATTAAATTTTATGTTACTATTTTTATTCGATTGTATTATCATCAACTATAAAAAATTAATGTCAAACTTTTCAAATCTTTGGCAATAAGCAGTTCAACACTTTTTTTTCAAACAATCAGCTAAAATGGCGTATTCTGAAAGATTTACTTTAGAGCAAGCCAAACAATTGATAATTGATAATTCTAGTGACGAAGAGAGTATTAGTGAGCATGAAGAGATTACTGATTATTCGGATGTAGAATTTACTGACGAAAAAGGAAATGAACCTTTTCTCGTTGAAGACAGCGCCGACGATGATGATGAAATAAAATATACACTTCAGAGTTCAAGTAAGATAAGATTGATAAAAAATACAATTTTTCAAATGTATCAAATAACAATAATATGAATATATAATAATACTTTCAGATGTACAAAATGACAGCTCTAATTCAGATCTAGGCTCTTCCGATAAAAGCAATGATAATGAAAAAAGCAAAACATTTGTATCTAAATGTGGAAACATAGTCTGGCAAAATGAACCAGTTTACAACAAATGTGGAAGGCGTGGTATGATGAATGTAATTCACGGGAAACCCGGTCCAACAAGATTTGCTAGAAAAAATGTAGACAGTCCTATTTCTTCATTTCATCTATTTTTTAGAGATAATATAGTTGAAAACATTTTGAAATAGACGAATAAGGAAGGAGAAGAGAAACAGATGAGTAATTGGAAGGAGTTAGATAAAAAAGAATTTTTTTGCTATATTGGATTGCTTATTCTTTCTGGAGTACACAAAGCAAAAAATGAAGCTGTCAATGAACTTTGGAACAAAAAGCGGGGACGCACATTATTCAATGAAGCCATGCCAAGGGATAGATTCAAACAAATAAATAGTGCTTTGAGGTTTGATGATGCATCAAAACGAAGGCAAAAGAAAAGTGAAGACAAATTGAGT